TTAATTTCTCTACTAATTGGAATTTTCTCTTACAGCTTGAGCCTAAGTGTGTCGCAGGATACCCTCTAGGTGATAGTTCTTGATTACTTTTAGATTAATAATTCATTCTTATTGCGAAATAAGAGCACTATTTATCAATCTGTAATAAAAGACGTGAGGAAATTCGGTCTTTTTTAAAGACAAAAATTTTTGAGGCAAAATACCCAAAAAGAAGTTTGTAAAAAATGAATCCGCATCAACAATACAGAACTTATCTACAACCCTAATTTTGTTTTATTTTCAACCTTCCTCATTTTCAGGCCAGTTTGCCCAGTGCTTTGCTACAGTCCCCACCAGTTTTAGTCATCAGTCGCTAATTGCACTTCGCCCAATTAAATCGCGAGGTTTAAATTTAATAACGCTTATTATTCCAAAGAGGGTTCTAAAGCGTGTGTGGTAAACATTCAAGCAGCGCTTACCTACATTGGTGGCTTCGCACATGTAAGCTCCTGTGTCGGCAAAATCGATTTTCCTAATTTTCAGCGATGTTCCATTCCCGATGATTTGATACTTTTTCGAGTTTTCATCGATTTTCAGCTCCTCATCATTCTTAAGCCACTTAACCTTTTACGGCAGAAATATGTTAAACTCGTGTTAAAACCTGCCGAAGTCTGCTCACCTGCGGGAACGGTTCCCCAGACACATGGCAAAACATTTGCGCGTCTTCTCCAGGTTTCTTCGACTGAATCTTTGGCATAACGTTCACTTCGGGCAAGGCTTAAACAAAAGTTCGCATTGTTATAGAAGCTTGAACAGTTTCCGGCAGTGGCACTCACTGTGAACTGTGAGGATGTGAGTTTGAACAACATGCGGATTCCTTTGCGCGCTGCATGTATAATTTCCGGCATGTTGCAGCTGGACTTTGGTCAAATACAGGCTTCCATCGCCGTAAACTTTCACGTCTTCCTGGTCTAAGATTGCCAAGTCTTGGCCATGCCGGCGCCAAAGAACCGGAGGAATCGGGGATCCGGTAACAGCACAGTGCAATTCCACGTTATCGCCCAAACGAGCTGATACCTGGTTTACTTCCAACGCTTTGTCCAGGGAAACAACGGAAACACCTACAAGTTTATAAAATTATGAGCTTCGGTCTGCCACATTTAATTCCGTTTTATATATATAAATACGTACTATACAGTTTGCTCATCGCTACTGAAAACTCGTTGATGCTGAGTTTGGCGTCTTTGTCGGTATCATCGAATTCTATCATACTCGCCAGCGAACATCCACTGGTTAGATTGATGACGTTCACCAAATCCTGGTCTTCAGCCGAAACCTAAGCAAAAATTATCTTAAGAGTTTCCTACGGAACTACACACGTTTTAAATTGCAATTTGGTGCTGCAAAGAAGTCTAATTGCACAAAGCTGCACTTTAACACGCGGAAAATTTTCGATTGCAATCCAAGCGAACTTCTAACTGTGCACACGCAAAAAGGACATTTAAGGCTTCTTATAAATTCTTGTTTGCGCAAACTGGCTAATTCAAGAGTTCTGTGCTTGGTAATTTTGAATACGCCGAAAGTTCAAATATAATTTCCATGAATAAACTTGCACTGGAAAGCAATAGGCCATCAAAAACCTAGTATTTTTGCTGTTTGCATGCATATTTCCAATTTATCATTTTAACTAGAACGTATAGCTAATAAAGACGATTGGTTCAGTCGGCAATTTCAAAAGCCCTTTCGAAACATACCAATCAGCTCAGTCAATTTAAAAAGAATCAAATGCTCTAATACCAAAAGCCAAGTAGAATGATGATTTCCAGGGACAACTGCGGGTTGGAATCAGTGAAAGTTTCACGTTAAATCACAAGTTCGCTATCACTGATTTAAGTCGTAAATTAAAGCAGTAGTCCTTTGAGAAATGTATGCTAAATTATCCTTTGATTTCCCTTTTGCGCCCCTTTGCTCTGCCTTCCGTTACATTAAACTATGACTCCATTAAGTTGTACCAATTTTCCTTTCTAAATAGGCACGATGTCATTCGATCAAACCGGGCTTAGTCTTCAAGCCCTTCTACTCACTCATGAATTAGCATTGAAGCATTATAAATTAAGTAGGCATATATTTGCTTTTCTAATTATTCCAATGTTCAGTGATTTCGAAGGATTTGCCATATTTATGTTCAGAATTGTCGACATTAATCAACGCGCAAAATGTTCAGAAGCTGCAGAAAATCACCCGAGATTTAGTGGGTTTTAAGTGCAGTTTAACAAAACCATTAAAAGAGTAATTTTGCAGGAAGACAGTCAGCAAACTTTATAGTATCGTCAATAGGATTTTTCAGTAAAAGAGGACAAGAATCAAGGAAAGAATAGCAGGTCGCCCTCACCTGATCCAACTCGAATTTTTCCAAATGCTCATCGTTATTCTTGTCGTAGTGCGAAAACATCATGGAAAGCAAATAATCCTTGCTCTGATTCTCCGACATCAGTTTTGCGTGATTGTATAGTAGAAGATTATCCTAAAAATACGTTGTTTCAATTCAAAATTATTAATTTAATTTGCGATTACTTAATAAGTAGACTGGACCCACCTTCATAACTTCGTACTCCTGCATTGAACATTCGTCCCTGCCATAATAATGGTCTTCAATTTCATTGAGCAAATTGCTCAAATCGCCAGATTTTAGACTGGGAAGAACCAAAACGGACTAAAAAAGCCCATAAATTTAACGAAACTTCAAAGTTACATCTATTTGCAAAAGCACAATCTGAGCGCTTGAAACAGCGGTAGAAGAATCCATCCGTATCGATGATATTTTCAATCAAAAGCCCTACGCTTAATAAACCACAGAGAAATCGCTCAGAACTAATCCAATTTATATTGTTACCTGAACGTTGGATAATCCCGTTGCAGATATTCTGGAAGAATCGTTTCTGGATTTGTGGTCTTCAAACGGTTTACTTTCCGGTATTTTCTCGCTTATCCAATCTCGCTCTGCAAAGGTGGAGCAAAGTTATTAGTTTTTCATGGTTGAACTGCTCCAGATTGGTCGGAATCAATAGAGTGCGCGATAATAGTCAGATTTATCGCAGTACTTTGCTAGTTCGGTTGATTTCTATATTGGAAAGCTTTTCAAGGAGGGCAGTTACTCTCTTATACGATTCGCTGGACTGCACGTACCAGTTTTTTCGCGTTTTTGGCAAAAACTGGCATCCATCTGGATCAGCCTCTTTCGAACAGTACACGCTGTGCTATGCATATGGCAATGACTGGGATAAACCATTCCATCCGAAGCACAAATCGAATGATGCGGAATGCACTTTTTTGAGCACTCGCATACTGGAGTGTTTGCTCGCAGTTTACAGTCTCTTCCTGAGGGACAATAGTGCGAAAGACACGGATCTGGAATAACAGTAGAGAAAAATCAGACCAGTTTGGCAAATTTTTTTAACTCACCATTTTCCAACAAAGGACGCACGGTTGTTTCAGGCTCATCAGTTGAGAATACATCACGATGATGTCGTTGCGACCTCAAGCTCTGAAAGGGAAACATAAATCCATTAAAACCCAAATATCTTCAAACTTTTTCCAAGAGAAATGCTTAGAAATATACACATTTTTGCCGGGTACAATATAAAAGGAGTCGTTTAATTATAATCTCGGATAAGCAGAGGTGAGGGTTGAAATTACAAAGCACTGTTTTCCAACTTAGCTAATTTAGATTGAAATTTTAATTAATGCGGCCGAGATTTCTGAAAAACCTTATTCGACTGGGCCAAAGTTAAATATTTATTCGGTCGCAGGTAAACCCACAGCAATGGGATTGAAATCGTTTAATTAAATGAGGGCATGTATTAAATCTCTGAAATAATTAGCATTTAAATCACAGGTTAAACCAGTTAAAGCATAGTTGTAAAATTCAAGTGCGTATTTGTCATCCACAATACCAGATTTTTCTTTGCAGCAAAGCCAATTAATTAAGCTAATTTCGTTGAAAAGTCTTCCATTGTGTGCTTATGGTTCCCGACGAAAACACCCGAAATATAATTAAAATGTTTTTAAGAAGGCCCACTGTTTTGTTGGCAGACAACACAATACATCTTTCACTTTTCCTCCTTTTGCCACAGTATCATTAATTTTAAATGTCGACATTGAAATTTATTGCGGCTTAGACAATACCTCTTGCTGACACACTATTTATTATTTTTAAGCTCGGTTTTATATCGCAGGACATATTTTTTCCCGTGCATAATATGCTTTGATATGGGTAACTTTTTCAACTAGGCGGATAGGATTTTTTTCATTATCAGCCTGCCAAAACTCGACTTAAAGTCGCTTTATAGTACGGCAATTCGGAATTGATCGACTTTCCACTGGAATCTGGCAGGATGAATGGAAAAGTTTATCTTTTCGGCGTTTTCAGCCAGAATTGATCCATGGATGTTGTGGCTCAGGCTGTCTTTAGGTCAAATTCCCGTGTATATCTTACTAAACCCATTAGGGTTTCCGATCGAATCGGAAAATTTGCTCTTGCTGGCTTTTCCGCCTTTTGCTAAATGCTGGATTTGGCTTAGTTTGATGAAAATTGATACAGCGGCATCCCGGAACAGCTAAGCCCATTTAGGCAACATGCTTCTCCTGGTTTTACTGGAATTTCATCTTCACATGTAATTAATGGCGCAATAATTAATTATTGGAGTTTTAGGAGGTATTTAGAACGCGATGTAATAATGCTTGATTTAAAATGCTGATTTGCACTTGTTGCGCCAATGCTTAATCACACATTATACAAAGTTTTGCTAATGTTCTGTTTTGCTTACTTATAAATGTGCGGATATCAGTAAACCATAGAACAATACAGTGTAAATGCTGAAATCACATCTGACCATCATTTCTTCATAGAATTATTGCAACAAACGTTATGGTCTGAAGAGACACCACTACTATCTACTAAAGAAGCTGGTGGTCTGCCAGTCATGCTTTTGAAATATAATTTATTTCTATTAAGTCTCCCTATTTATAAGACAGATTACCATAAAAATCCTGATAGATCCTGTTTGGCATACAAGGTATGTAACTATCCAGCTCGTGTTATCCCAGGTAGTAAAGCATGTCGAATAGCTAAAGAGCGGAAGTTGGTCGAGGATTAACACATTCGATTATGCAAATCGGCTCCTGTTGGAACGTTGAGCCAATTTGTTGGCCGACTCAAGTGGGAACAATTTATATCTTGAACATCCATGCTAACCCTTAACTGTAATATTGCAAGACATTGAGCCATGAAAACCTGATATGAGAGAGACATTTTCAGAGTTGAAGCCAAAGTTTTTTGCGTGATATTGCAACGCCCTGTTATTGGCCTATTTCACAGAGCAATTATTCGCTAACACCAAACGCGGGTGAATTTGACTGGATATTAATCCGAATTCCCCTAGTATTATTGCTTTGGAACTTCGTTATGAAATTTAATCGCTCGCGTTGATAGACCGACTTTAAACCAGCTTATATGGACATATTTCAGATATTCCATTTCTGAATAAAGTTTCACTGGGGCTTTGAATAGGTAAGGAATTCAGCATTCCCCTAACCAAGGGCTGTTTCCTATGCGGTTTTGCTCCTCATTCCATTTACCTAATAACAAGGGCTTAGTGTTGGGCATAGTAATTATTAAAGCGTTTCCTCATTTTGCTGCTGTCTCCATTCAAAAGCATCAAATCTACTCAAAAAGTCAATGTGTTTGAAAACGTTCGTTTGTTCCAAGTCATGAATGGATTGATGCCTTGATAATCCAAGGAGGGATTTTAGAACAAAGATTTTGCCTGCTGGATATCGCAAATCCCCAGGCCGGTCCATTTAATTCGCTAAGTTCTTGTTCTAATTTAGCGAGGTGTTCAATGTGCTCCTCACTGTTCCCATTTTCTGGATCACAGTATTATTATGCGTCTTTGAGTGTTTTGCTTGAAATTTACCCAATCAACTTCAATTAGAGAACTTTGAACATCTCTCAAAAGCCACAGAAGGAAAGTAATGCGAAGAACCTAATTAACCAAAGAATATAATTAAAAAGTAACTGACCCTAGAGGAAAATGCTCACGCAAGCAATCCCAATGACTAATTACTTAAGTTTGCCATAAATTTAACGCCTAACTATTCCCATTAATAAAAGTGGCAATGATTTGAGCTGAGATTTGCAGAGTTTAAGTTCGTCGGCATTCGCAATCTTATTTCGCACTTATTACGACGTTTAAGTTTAGGGGAAACATTAAAGACTTTAAGGGATTTTGATGGCTTACGGCCCCCTAAAATCTTCCGTACTGCCGTATGGCATCGGAGAGTAATAAAACTACCATTACCTAAGCTGATATCAAACAAACGATCGTAAAAGGCAGATGGGCTGATCTAATTTATCTTATTGCAAACAACAGCAATAATGGCTGGTGCTCTCAAGTTTTGCTAGGAATTTTAACATTTTCAGTTCGCTGTTGAAACAGAGATTTTTGAACTTTCAAACCAGCAACAAAAACATCCCTTTGGAGTCCTTTCATGTCCTACTTTAAAATAATTTTGTTGTAACTGGCAAAGCAATTTAATCCAAACCTTTAGGGATTTGCAGAAGGTTCGCATTATTTATCCAAAATTGGATCAAGGAAATGGGAAAAACCTGGAAATGTCATGCGAATGGTGAATTATGCATCCGAGCAAGTTTAGTTGCTGGAAACTTGGCACACATTTGGATTATTTACGCGTCTGTCGGCAACAACTACGTATTAGGCAAATTAAATTAAGAATTTATCCGGTGATTAATCGGCTGTAGTCTTCTAAGTGCTAGTTCGGTTTGAACATGCTAACGGGCGTTGTTTTTTAACTTTAAGCTGCTTAGAAAACTATTGTAGTGCACAAAATGAAGCTAACCGGGACAATTGAAACTAAATTTTAATGATAACATGTTAGGTTTTGCAGGCCTAGCTAATGCTCAATTCACAATGAGGGATTCTGGGGTGAAAACGTAAAACCGCCTTGAATCTCAACATATTTTTGGGTTTCTTGTATCACAATCGTACTGTGCGCGTTACTTTTGATCAGTTGGTCTAAAAGTGCTACTCTTTGTCGTTTGAAAGTGCCACCCTGCATTGAAATGTTCACCTGGCATGCAAATTCGCTTTTTAATAGGCAAAATGAAAGGAATTTTGTTTAATCAATATACACTGTTTAGCATCCGGTAATTTTGATTTAATTTAATAAATATTGAAGCAATATAAATTACCCATGATTGAAAATTAGCTATTAGTAATTGAGTGTTTAATATTAATCTATAGAGATATGCATACACGAAATAGCTTCATCTGGCATTAATTATCCATTAGTATAAATACATTTGAGTCGGAATATAATAGCCAAACTTCCATCTTTATTTAGGGCAAATTGAATATATTTTGGGAAATGAAAACTCAATTTATTTATTTTAATTTGTTAAAACTCCTCCAGCCGAAACGGGACTCATCAAGTAATTATTAGCGTAGTTGATGTAGTTTTTAAATTAACCAACCGCTATTGATTTTGCACTTTTCATTCACAGAACATCGACTGCTCTTCACATGACAAAACATCGAAGTTTCAATGCCTAATAATTCAATTGAAAGCCTATCGATGCAATAAACATGTAATAATTCATGTCGATAAAAATGAAGCATTCGAGTTTTTGTTCAGTTTGTTCGAAATGTATAGAGTTTAATTATTAGAAATCGGTTGAAATAAAACTCAAACCAGGGATTTATGTGCTTCGGAATCGTATATAAAATTGAAAATCCATTAATTTTAAAACAGCCAGGCTTTCCAAGCATTTTTTGAGAGAGGCTGAAATCCCGTTAATAATTCCGGAGAAAAAATGGCTACTATCGCAAAAATAAATCCCCTTGTTCGGCAAACGGTTGTTCCATTAGCCAAACTGTTTGGTACCCTACGAATGCTTCTGTTCATTTTGGTAATTTTTCTTCTGCTAAGTAGGTATTTATAAACGGCTGAATGACATTTCACTGAAACACGTTGCGACATTCTTTTTAGTTAGGTCTAGCCCATTTTCCGTTGTTTTTACGTTGTGGATTCAGGGATCACCATTATTTTCCCGACCCTCTTATCCCCAACAGAAAAACGATAATATATGGGAATATGCTCACGTTTTTTCCTCGCGGTTCTAATGTGATTTAGGATTCAATTCGGCTACAATTAAATGCCAACATTAAAAGTAATAAATTGGCCTGCCATTGAGGGCTACTGGAACGTACTTGTTTATTGCAATTCCAATAAATCGAACCTGTCTTATTCGGATAATAAATGGCTACAGCGCGAGGCAAGAAAAATTACTGTGTCGGGAACGGCAGTCTCGATTTTGGCATTTGCAATTTCTTATTGACAATGCAGTTGCAAATGGACAGAAATGCAAATAATCATTCACTATTCCAAAAACAGCGAATAGTTAATTTATTTAAATAGTCAAATCCAGCTTGGGCGTAGAACTTTCCAGTAAGGAAATTAACTTGTAATTTATACCGCAACTTTTTAACTTTTTCTTGATTAAGTTTCATTTCGGAGTTCTTTGTAGCGAGCGGTAATAAGCGAATTAACATCGTACTTTTCCAATAACTGGATCTAAAAAAATTAGTTGAACGAAAGATGCCATAGAGACAAACTTTCTATTAGTCATTACATCGTCGACCTAACTATGCAAATGGAAGTTGAAAGTTTCCAAAATTGCCATATTGTTGCTAAGCTAAAGTATTACAAACTCATTGTCGAAAGTTCACTGCAGGAATGCACCAATTTTAAATTGCTCTAAACAACTAAAATGCATCCATGAACAAGATCCTAAATTGTCGAATTGTACTCTATTGTAGTATTAATCGAACGGCATTATGTCCGATATAAAAGAATAAAATTCAAAGATTTTGCAAAGAAAATTGCTAGTTTTTCATCGTTCAATATCCCAGTTCTCAACTGTTAACTCTGGCCACCAAAAGATTCATTTGCGCATCTCGAAATGATAATGCCAGACCAAAAATGTAGATCTTTCCGTACTAGATAAGCTCGAGTAAAGTTGAAACTCCGCAGTTGAAAGGCTTATGCCAGATTTGCATAAAAATGTGCCCGATACTGATCCAGGTTGGCTCAAAACGACCAATGTTTGAAGGGGAAATTTAACGAAAGTTCCTCGTTTGAAATGTTAATTTAATCTTTTAACGTTTGTTGGTGCATTGCTCGGGAATCTTATACATTAATTTTTTCAGTTCAGTTTAGTGATCAGTTTGCAAATTCCATCTAAACTTAGCACTTGAGACCCCTATTTAAAACATGTAGCAAACTACCCGTTTTACAGTGAGTCATTTGGTTCCTGTTAAATTCGATATTCGGTAAAGCCGCAAAAAAACACCATCTACCATTTATCGATAGCCCTTTGCTCTGTTTGCTGGTATTTGAAACAAAAACCGTCCGTCTGGCGCGAACAAAACAGGCATTCACACGATAAACTTTTTTCTCTTGATTTGACCCTTTAACAAATATTCCACATTCGTATTCAGAGGCAAATCGCCCTCTATCCTTTTCACGCGGCTTTGAGCTCTCTTTTTCCCGTTGCAGCTTATCTGGAATAAAAAGATTTAACTTTGGAGCGCGTTGACTTACCAGGTTTATTTTCTACAAAATAACTCTTTCGCTTATTCGCCTACTTACGACTGATGTGTACTGGGCTGTGTAAATCCATCCAGGAAAGTTTCCAAACATTTTTAGTCTGCTCTGGAGGTTTCATCGAAGCAACAAGTTAGGATTTAAAGTGATTAGTTGCCTGATGATCATTGCAGTTTTGGATGAATGAACTGTTTGGTACATCAATCAATAAACATTGACTGCGCTCATTGCAAGCGAAATTTAGATCGCGATAATTAAAGGCTGGAGCAACAGGAAGGCGCATCCATTAGTCGCTACCTTAAATTTCACATAAATTATTAAATTTAATAATTTTCCTTAGCTTTGAACTTATTTCGCTGCTAAACACGACACTTAATTGGTTATAGAGCACCCTGGCAGCAAATTGTTTGCTAAAATGATCTCCCCTAATAACATTTTCTAGGGTGATTATACGGCACTCATTTTCTGCTCGAAATTCCAATACCAATTAGGGTTTACATCGAATTTGCCCCGATCAAGCTCGGGCGAGCTTTTCCGTATTACAAAATAATCAGCTAGAGCACACTGAAATGCTTCATTAGGTTTGGTAATGAAGGTTATGAAGCTGAAAAGAGCAGTTAAACCCAAAAAAATGCCAGTTTAGGCCAATTAAATCAAACATAAATTAATCCAACATAAAACCTCACCAGAATGTCCGTGGTTTTAGCCTTGGTTGGGCATGCCGTGTTGCAAACAAAACTTTTTTCATGGACCCATTAAAGTTATTGCAAATGAACGATTTGAAAGGCTTTGCAATAAACAATGCGGGTTATTTCAGTCCAGTTCAATTGGAATTGCGGAATTTAAATTAAATCTATATGGAATAGTGATCAAATGGCCCAGGTTTTGGTACATATTGGCTCTCAATATCCAGATATTAAACATATCTGGATATCAGCAGAAAATTATTTCGATCAGTTTTAATATGCACATTTTGTAATTGAAACAGGGTGACCCACATTCGATATATTTACCTCTTAGTCAAACCTGCGATAATAATTCTTTTGCATAAGACACTTAACAACCAATGATCAAAAATTGCTTTTTATAACTTGGCGCAGAGTATGTCATATACAAATTTCTTCTGAAAATCTGTTATAGTTATTGAATTTATTAGCGGGAAAACCTTAAAATTTATGAATGAATTTATATTGAAGCGTGAGATACAAATTGGGTTTGCGGGATGTGAACAATTTGTCTGCCGTTCGATTTAATGTATTGCGCTCCAAGCTGCTTGCTAATTGCAATGGTTCATATTTTGCTTGTTGTTTGTTAAATGCAGCATGACTTAAGCATGAATTACTACAATTCAACTGCAAATTGGACAAGGAGAGCCAAATGAATCAAACACTTTGCATGGTTTCGTACTTTATGTTTTATATTCATTTCTCATCTCAAATTAAAATGATCGCCAATGGAACAAAAGTAAACTAATTCACTTTACGCACATTCAATCGCTAAATAAACTTAAACCAATGCTAACAGAACAAAAAGCCAGTACGGTAAATGCGACTCTTGTCACAGTAGATGCAGAATCTTTCAAATCATCAGTCTCATTATCGCTGTCATCATCATCATCATCATCATCATCATCATCATCAGTATCATCATCATCATCATCATCATCATCGTCAATGGCCACTCCATCGCCTTCCTGTAAAGCATGTGTATTGCAAAAATCCCCAGTACATTGTCTGCAACTAAAACTCCCATTGTGCCTGTTTTGGGACTGAGTCAGATCATCAATGAGTTCGCAAAGAGTTGGATATGACTGATCAGTGGGAACCACTCTGGATATGCACGTTCTTAGAGTGTAACTGTTTTTTGCTGGAAAATTCCTGGAGTTTGCACAATTTTCACTTAGTTTAGATTAGAGCCTTACTCTCATGCACTCTAGCTGTAACGCAATGATGTTCTAGTTGAGTGTTTTGAGTAGAACTATTCAGGAAATTATGTCGATAGTTTTCGTTCAGGGCCTCTTCCACTCGCCGCCCAAAGGGATCGTCTGATAACAGCGGTTCGTCCCAATATCTAAAAGGTCGGTTATTTCGTGTTGTATAAAGAGCGAAATTCGGTTGATTTACTTCCAAGAGCTGCAGGCTGCGACTCGGATGCCGTCACTGAAATCCGGATCATCTGGATCATGGCAAAATCCATAGCCAAAACACCTGTGGCAAGTTAGAGTATTGACTGAAAAATTAAAAATCAGTCCAGTTATTGGGTAAAAACGTTGAAATAGTCGAATCCATTAGGCAAATATTATACCTACTTACCGAGACTTGGCGCAAACAGTAAAATTAGAATCCAGTAAAACATGTTATTAGCGGGAGGATTGATTGATACTGAAGCACAAAAATCACTTTGAGTATCGCGTACCTTCTAAATTATAAACAGACCAACAATAGATCAATAAACCGTTTTTTTGGTCCGGCAATAGCAAAGACAAACATATCAACAATGGCCCCCTCAATCCCTCGTAATACCAATCGATACCTTAATAGTCTGTCGTAAAACCGATAAAATGATTATTCATCCTCTGTCCGGATATCTCCGACAGTTTCTTATTCGGGTGATTTTTAGCCGTTTTATATTCGCATTAATCAACACCAATTTTATTTGGAAAAAGTACAGCAGGACTCATTGCAATCCCCGTTCAATTTGCTGCGTTTTTAATTTTTGATGTTTTGGTTGGCTGCTCATTCGACGCCTGACTGTTATAAAATCCAATTATTTCCCAAATTAAGTTACTGTCGGAACAACCAGCAGTTTGGTGGATTTTAATGTGTTCTCTCCAAAAATAGCTCTGTGGTTCGGTCAGGGTCTAATAAATAATCCATGAATTGAACAACTTTGAAATTATGTCCAAAATGAGTAGGATAGATTGGAAAGAGTTTCCCCTTTTTCAATGGCATACAAATACCTGAACGGTTCAGAAAAAACCTCCTCTATTAACATCAGATTAATCTATAAAAATCAAATAAATCGCTGAGGCATCCGAACTTCAAAGCACTAGGGAAGGCAAAGTCGCAAACAAAGTCGCAATTATGACTGATCCCACATGGGCTGCTGATGAATCCTCATCGGAATCGTCATCATCGGCACCCGGAACATATGAATCATCAATATCATCCATTCCACCATCTTCACCTACTTCCGCATCTTCATCAGTACCACTAGTTCCATCGCCCGCACTCAAAGCATGGCTGTTGCAATAGTCTTCATTGCACTGTCTGCAACTGAAAGTTCCTCCATGGACGTTTTGTGAGCCAATGTAACTGTCGATGAAATCGCAAACTGTCGGGTAAGTGCCTTCAGTTGGAATTGCCCGAGTTACACAAGTCCTCAGTGTGTAGTTATTAAGAGCTGGAATGTTACATGTCCAGTAATGCTGCCGTTTAAGTCTCATCACTTACGTTCGTCGATTCTGGCTGTAAGGCAAAGATATTCCAGAGTAGTGTTTTGAGTGGTAACCGGGCTTAGAAACGTTCTTTTGTAATTTGCGTCCAGAGCCTTTGCAACTACCTGCGTGAAAGGATCGTCTGACTCAAAAGCAGACCAGTAGCTGCAAAAATCGGTTTGAAACTTGTTTGGGAAAAGTCCATTTTGCACGTTCAGGCCTACCTAGAGCTGCTGCATGTTGCAGCTCTGATCCCCTCGGAAAACCCTTCATGATCAGGACTATTGCAGAATCCATAGCCGAAACAACGATGACAAGTTAATGACTGAACTAAAAACGCATTTTACCATTCCACTGAACGTTCTAGCACTGGTTTAACATACCCAAAGCTGGCAAGCAAAGCGCCAACAGAGTCACTGAAACTTTCCCCAACATCATCAACTGTCTGCCTTATGAGAGACTCAAGAAATCGACTGGAAATTCGCTACTCAATAATATCAAATCCCTTCGTTAAAGCATCAAAATCAGATGTAATAAAATCAAAAGTATTAGGAAATGCTTTTATATGAGGCTCGATAGCGGCCAATCCCCAGTAATATCAATAAATGAATTTATTAACGATTGTTAAAAAGCGATTTGTACGAGGTGCGATAGGCTGTAAAGCGATGTCTTCGATGCTTTATCTTCAAATTTCAAGAATTATTGGGCAAAATCGCGATGGAGACGGTACTTCAATTGGAATGGTCTGATAATTCACTCAGACGCCCATTTGCCGCTCTTGGAACGAAGTTAGCTCTATTAATTTCCGTTACTTTAGAAACTCCTTTGAGAGGGAGCTTCTTTAATTAGCTGCCAATCAAATGGGCATCTAAACTAATTTTACAACCTTACGGGGATCATGATTTAATTATTCGCATACATTAAAAGGAATGTCTGGCAGGATTTTTTGTTTTCTTGGCCTTTTGCGACCATTGCGTACAACTGGTGAGTTTTGCGGGCTTTTAGGCCAAACATCATTTTCGACCAACTGTTCAAACAAGTTAATTTAGGTGGCTCAAACTTATATAGTAGTTTATCTATTTTTTATAGAGGATTTAATGTTTATTCGCCATTGTATGTTTACGGCGCCGTAAAATAATAAACACACTTTTATGGCTTGATGCGGATTTATCTCCACCATGAATGATCACGTCGAACATTTTGATAAGCCTGCAAGTCCATAATAAAGTAATTTTGTCACAGATGAATCATTCAGGTAGTTTTCTAACTAAACTAATTAGTAAAAAAAATTTGGGAAAACCGCGAAGACTTTAAGGAGTATCAAAGACTCGCCTGATTGCAAAGTTTTGAGATATTTACCTAAGCGCAGACATTTGTTTCAACTTGAAATAATAACAGGAAAGTTGGCATAGATAACGACTACGGTTTGTTTTAATTCGCCAAGTTGCTTTTAGCTAATGCGCCGACAACTTCCAAGTAATATGTTTCTGAAATACGCCCCAGTGAAAAATGTTTCATCATATGGAACTTTAAAGGTATGTTTGTTGGATTAAATGAGACGTAAACTCAACTGATTCTTTGCTCTGATGAGGTGGTTTTCGTTGCTTATTTATTTCGGGCAGCCACTGCTAAAACATCCTGAATAGATTCAAAGTATATACGTAATGAATTAGGGAGTTGGGTGTAAAAATAACCCGCTAACGTTAATTCCTAGCAAATCCGAAATTTATTGGGCTAAAATAGTCGCCAGCAAACTACGACGCTAAAACTGCAGTGTCATGTTCTAAATTTACCGACTCTATTAGACCGTATCCATGAATATGTAAAATCATACTCCATTAGAGCCAAATTGAGTTGAATTTTGGAGTGTTTGCCTTAATAGTGCCGGCAATGGAATTGCCGAATTTGTTCTGAACAGTTATGACGAAACAGATTGGGCCAACAAAACCCGTGTAACGGTTGAAAATTTGATTTTTTACATTAGTTTTACTAATTTATTTGTTGTCGCTAAAGCCCAAATTAAGCGACCAAAAATTTCTATGGTTTGCTCTGCTAAATCAGTTTAAATTCATATTTTCCCGTCATTTCGAGGCTTTAAAGTTGTACCAAGAATTGACTGATTCATATCATCGAAGGCTGGAAGTGTCGGGCTTCGTCTAAAGTTTAGGCCAAAAGATTCTGCATTCATTCCACTTCTCAGTGCATTGAAATTTTCTAATTGAAACCACAGTTTCCATCAAATTTTATTTAACAGGTTTATTGAAATTTAATTATTCTAATAGGCAAAGCATTTAGTTCGGATCGAACTTCGGTTCCATATTCTACGCCATCCCGAGGACTAATTAAGCTGGGCTTGTCGCTGTTTGCTCTGCTTGTTAAGTCCGAATGTCATTAAAGACCATTGTTTTTGGAATCAATTATTATAGTAAACTAGTAGATTTGAATATGCCTTAACGGGGGACAGGGATTAACCGCATTCAGCTCTCAGAAGTGAAATAATAGATGGGACTTGTTGGCTTTATCCTCGATAATAAATGGAGATTTATCCACAAATTTAAAATCGTTGCTTTAAATCTGTTTCCTAAAACTGGCGTTAAATTACCAGAGCTTTAAAAGCTCCATAGTCAAGTTCGTCTTTGTCGCATTACGCTAAGCGCGAATCTGAGATTGTCATTAAAATTAATCTTGTCCTTTAAACTGCAAAATAAACAATTAAAAAACAACAAGTGAATTTGCCCATTTGAGTAGTTAAAGTATGACAGTACAAGATAGCAAACATGCCCCATCACTATAATTTGCTTGATTAAATAAGGGAAATTTCCGGTAAATAATTTGCAAAACTCCCGAGTAAGTTAATATTTCGGTCGGAATAAGACTTTTCAGTTTAGTTTGAATGATTAATTGCCTTTCAGAGTTTGGTAAAGTATGAAGTAAAACCTCTTCAATACCGGCTAAGTCAACCCTATAATTTATAAAACTTCCTCGCTAGCGATGCATTTGAGTTGTCACTCGCAAACAACATTAATTTCCTTTATTAAAATTTATCGGATGTTCTAATTTGCTAATTGTATACATATTCTTTTCATACGTATCCTTCCTGAGTGATTGATTGTTCTAAGTTTAGGCTGAGCAATTTTTCTAATAACTATCGGAACACATAGAGCCTTCCATATTTAATCAACTCCGATGGGGACAATTTCTTTTATTGCCTGCCAAGTCTTGAGGTGCAATTTCAGGAAAATTAATGGCATTACCGGCAAAAAAGTGATATACGTCCGCAAAATAAATTTAATGGCTTGAAACTGTGAGGGCCTTTTTCGCAACCTCTAAAGCTAATCTGGAACCAGATTCTCGCTGGTAAATTGCCATTGAAAGTTCCTTTTAATTTTTAGTTTCCCTCGGATTTATTCGTAAAGCTGCAAACTTTTTTCGGCTGCAGCCCTCACTCATAAGCGCACATTTATTTCACAATACAAGAAAATCGCCTTTTTGTGCGGCCACTAGCTTTAATTTCCTCCCAAGAAGAGAAAAAGCATACTGCACAGCAGATTTACTGATATGAGCTGACAGCGAAAGATAAAGGCAAAGAAAACGGCCGGCCTCCTATAAAATAGAGGTCAGTTTAGAGCGCTCAAATAAGTGAATTGAGCGCTCTCATTGCTTTCTTTTGTACCCGCATTTCAAAGTGAACACGGCATCAAGAACACATGGTGGATTGCATTTTCCTTGTGAGCGCAGTGGTAGAACTCATGAATATGTATTTATGGTGGTTCATTTTCCTAATAGTGTTGGAAAAGGTTTTAAAAAGCTAATAGGGAAATTTAATGGGAACTACAACGCACTTTTATTACATTTGGCAGAACGCACAACTTAGCAAATTATCAATGCAGGAAAGCACAACAAAGTTCAAATGGATATCATGTACGGGCGCATTTTACGCCTGGTAATTCTGTGACCATCATACCCAATAAAATTATGAAAAAATCGTATTTTTAGCAGGATTTTGATCTTATTTTGTGCATCCACTTCAGGTGTATGAAACTGAGTCCATTCACACAAATACGTTGCGGAAGTCATGGGGAAGTTTGAGACGGTGGCTCATCCTCCAAGTAAAGTCACTTGTTCCCCTTTTGTGGATTCGGATGTCGTAAATCAGTCCTGAGCGCGTTATGCACCGGCACGTCCCAGGACGTGCTTAATTAAAATTATTCATGGACAGCGGTCTCATACAGCCAGTAAATTTAGCACACCAGGCTCCAGTTTTAGCACGTCGGTGCCTGCTGGATGTGTTAACCTTTCGGTTTCGTAATTTAACGCATTCATGATTAGGGACACTATCTGCTATTATAATTATATGGCTCTGGAGCGGAACTTGCGGTTATAGTGGACATTCTGATAAATAACTGCTGGACATAGAAATTACTAATGATGCGAGTTAAATAGGGAAAACTACACCATATGAAGCTTTGAAGCTATAAGTTTCCATGTCGTTCAGTCTTTGTTTAGCTGACTAAAGCCCCTACTGGATAAGGAGGCAAACACGACCAACAAAGTATTGCGATTCACTCAGTTGGTTCAAAGTGACTTTTTCACCTATATTTTCATAGCACTTCTTCTGTTGCTTGCTCCTTTTATGCTGAATGTTGCTTTTCAACTTTTAAATCGAAAAGTTCACAATAATAAAATTAAGGTTTTTGCAAAAGTTTGCATATTTATCAGCAAGTGCCAGAAGTTTTAATTTTCCCTTAGCCAAACCTGAGGCCATTCGATTTTGAATAAACATATTGAAAACGCACGAATTACTGTCGAAACCTTCAGTCATACAAGCCCCAGACTTGCCCAAGCGAACAGTGTATTTAATAACCAAAGTAGGTCAGGAATAAAACTATTTCAAAGTTTCGCAACTCGGATGGAAAATTGAATATTGCCAGGCATCCCGTAAACCATTTTCCGACGGAATATTTCAGATTTCCATAAGTTATGTGGAAAATAACGATCAAGTTGCAATACGTGTGATACCAACGATATTCAAGATAGGGATCATCTTCATTTTCTTATTTGGAAACAGGAAACGTGATTCTATTAAGAACGCAACACCGCCTAATTCTCGCTCACGCTTAATTCCTCATACAGGGCATATAAAAAAATTAATGACAAATTAACCAATCAAATTTTTAACACATTTAATACACCTGATGTAAGTATGCATACTGCAACGACTATTTTACATCAATCTTCCATTAATAGAAAACATGTGTATGTAGGAACCATTGAAACCATCAACACATGAAAAGGCCATCGAACAATGAAGAGTTCCGACTGAAATTTAAGTGACATTGAAAAACTCCAGTTCGAGAATTAATGATCGGCTGTTAATTAAAAGGGCTCTTTTTTCACAATGAACGGTTAAATTGTATCCGCAGTATTCCTTCTTTGTAAATTGCTTGCTGAGCAAAAAATGTCGACTGAGAAGGGAACACATTGTTTCTCCATCGGCATTATTAATTAAGTCCTCAATTAACATTCTTGTCAGAGCATTTGTTT